GTGGTACACTGGTAATGAGATATTGTGGTACTGTGGTACCCTGGTACTGTGAATGGACTGTAAATGGACTGTACTTATGTAGCACATTTCTATCCAACTAGTATACTCAAAGTGCTTTACATTATAGGGGCAGATATTATAAGTTTATACTTCTTTCTGCTTCTTTTCATTCATGACATTTTTCCTCTGTTTTTTTATTTTATTTTTGGCTTTTGTATGAATAGGTGTTTTTTATGCAGTGGTACCCTGGTACTGTGGTATCATTGTACTGTGGTACCCTGATGCTGTAGTATCTTAATATTGTGGTACTGTTGTACCCTGGTACCCTGGTACCATGGTATAGTGGTAATGTGCTACTCTGGTATCATTTTACTGTGGTACTGTGGTATTGTTGTACTGTGGTACCCTGGTATTGGGGTACTGTGGTAGCATGGAACTCTGGTGCTGTGGTACCCTTGTATTGGTACTGTAGTACTGTGGTACTCTGGTGCTGTGGTACCCTGGTACTGTGGTACTCTCGTTCTCTGGTGCTGTGGTACCCTGGTATTGTGGTACCCTGGTGCTGTGGTATTGTGGTATGGTGGTACTGTGGTAGCCTGGTATTGTGGTATGGTGGTACCGTGGTAGCCTGGTACTCTGGTACTCTGGTGCTGTGGTACATTGGTACTGTGGTACCTTGGTGCTCTTGTACCCTGCTATTGTTGTACCCTGGTATTGTGGTACTGTGGTACCCTGGTACTCTGGTGCTGTGGTATTGTGGTATGGTGGTACCATGGTAGCCTGGTACTCTGGTGCTGTGATACCTTGGTACTGTGATATTATTGTACTGTGGTACCTTGGTGCTCTGGTACCCTGCTATTGTGGTACCCTGGTACTGTGGTACCGTGGTATTGTGGTACTGTGGTACCCTGGTATCATGCTACTGTGGTACCTTGGTATTGTAATACTGTGGTATCATGGTACTGTAGTACCCTGGTACTGGGGTACCCTAGCACCATGGTACCATATCACCCTGCTACTGTGGTACCCTGGTTTTGTAATACTGTGGTACCATGGTACTGTTGTACCCTGGTACTCTGGTGCTGTGGTATTGTGATATGGTGGTACCGTGGTAGCCTGGTACTCTGGTGCTGTGGTACATTGGTACTGTGGTATTGTTGTACCCTGGTACTGTGGTATTGTGGTAAATGGTATCATGGTACTGTGATACCTTGGTAATTTGGTACTGTGGTACCGTGGCCACTCTTATACCTGTTGCACTGCTGGACAGTAAGACGTTCAAGGAGGGTTGAAGAAGACAACAATGTCTTAAAATGAAGACTATCATTGTAGAAGGCCAACATCCAAGAGTAAAAGAAACCCAGGAAACATCAGCTCCTCCTCTGTGCCCTGCCTACATCTGAAGTTGATAAGAAGAAGCAGGTTGTTGTCACATGGAGTAGAAGGTTTTGGACCCAGAATGCAGACACTAATGACATTCCACTAGTGCCACTTAGTGTAGTGTTGGTACGGTTCCAAACGGTTCCAAGCCATTTTCATTAGGCCAGATTCATGGAATCAGCCCCTTTTTTAGTACCTACTTCGTTGTGGTTCTAAGCGGTCCCAGTCGACACCAAAATGCGACGTCAGAACACTGTTCGTCACTGATTGGCTAGAGGGGTGGAGTCACTGGTTGGGTCTGAGCTGCCTTTACAAGAACAACTCAAGGAGCCATTTTTTCATTTGTAGTAGTGACATTAGTTGTGTTTCCATACAACTTTATTCAGAAATTTTAGCAATTTTTTTAAATTTCAGAACTTATTCGGCAAATGTGTTTCCATCTCTCATTTTGCGCATTAACTTTAAAAAAAAAACAAAACAAAAAAAAACATCTCCACCAACTGCCCAAAACACAGCCACTGTAGTCGGACTGGAACGTCAATGGAAAAGTACCCGAACTGACCGTACCGACACTGACCTTACTGACACTGACCGTACCGACACTGACCGTACTGACACTGACCGTACCGACACTGACCGTACCGACACTGACCGTACTGACACTGACCGTACCGACACTGACCGTACCGACACTGACCGTACCGACACTGACCGTACCGACACTGACAGTACCGACACTGACCGTACCGACACTGACCGTACCGACACTGACCGTACCGACACTGACCATACCGACACTACACTAAGTGGCACTAGTGGAAAAGGGGCATAAGAGAACATGACAGAATGAGATGTAGCCACGCCCACAGTCTYCAAAGAAATCTAAAGCTTTTGATACATTTAATCTGTCTGTATAGTCCTACATGCAGAAACTTTATTGTGTCCCAGTAGAAGCCTTCAGACTCTCAGAAGGTTTTTCATCTTTCAATCACTAATGGTCACTCTCTTCTTCCTCCACTTTGGCTCCTCCCCAGGCTGTCCGAACCAACCAAATTACTGTGTGTGAAACAGGAAGAGGAGGAGCTTCAGCTCAGCACCATCCATCCAGGTATGTCTTCAGAGAGGTTCTGAAGCGTCCATGTTGACAGGAACTGTGAGCAGACTCCAGAGCTGATGAATGTTTGCTGAGTGATGCCTCGCTGATCACACTCACAAAACTCAGAGCTCAGATGGAAAAACTCTCTCTGTGGCTCTGACCACCAGGGGGAGCTGGAACACCTGTTCAAGCCACCATCGAAGAAAAGATAATGTCCTCATGTTTCCATGGAAACTAGGGAGTGATGTCAGCAGACATGTTTGTGCTGATCGCTCGATTGCTCTGCAGAAAAATGTCAAACTGCTGATTGCAGCTTTTCTGCCTCCTCCTTTGTCTCCTCCTCTCTCTGTGTCCTCGTTCCTCTTTGTCCACCMCCCCCCCCCCGCACCACTGGAAGAGGAGGCACAGAGCAGAGAGCTGACACTTCTGTCTGCTGCAGAGGAAAAAACTGCTTCAGCACTTCGAGAGGCTGCAGGGGAGGATGTTCTGTTAGTTTTCTTCTCACAAGAAGACAAAAATCAAGTCCTGTCCAGAACCAACGAGTTCCAGAACCAGCAGAACCAACCCTGCAGAGTTCCAGAACCAGTCATTTGGACATGTTCCCAATGGTTTCATGATGCATGGACACTGACGGTAGAAGCAGGGACAGTATTTACAAGTTCTCCACACATGAAGCCTCTCCATGCCTCTGAATCAGGAAGCACAAAATGAAAACAGTATTTTATACTCAGGAATACTTTTACTATACTAACTAGAAAGTTGCAGGTTTGATTCCATGCCTTGCCCATAAGTTGTGGTGCACTGCTCCACTTCATCACTGCATGAGAATAAATGTCACCCACACGTGCCATTGTACTGACTGGAAGGGTTAGCTGCTGGTGTTCTTCAGTGGGCGGAGTCAGAGCTGCTGGTGTTCTTCAGTGGGCGGAGTCAGAGCTGCTGGTGTTCTTCAGGACAGTGAGTGGGCGGAGTCAGAGCAGGTTCTGGTACACTGAGCCCTGCTGCCCTCTCCTCTCCTAACTCTGTTTTCATGGTAACAGCGGGCAGAGAAGTGGCTGTTGCCATGGAAACAGAGCTGGCCACAGTACCTGCAGAGTTGGTTGTGATGATGGATGATCATCCTGGTGAAAATCACGAGGATTGTCTCACTNCTACTGTGGTACCCTGGTATTGTAATACTGTGGTACTCTGGTACTGTGGTACCCTGGTATCATGGTACACTTGCACTGTGGTATTGTAGTACTGTGGTACCCTGGTATCATGCTACTGTGGTACCCTGGTATTGTAATACTGTGGTACCATAGTACTGTTGTACCCTGATACTTGGTACCCTGGTATCGTGGTACACTGGTAATGAGATATTGTGGTACTGTGGTTCCCTGGTATTGGGGTGCTGTGGTAACATGATACTCTGGTGCTGTGGTACCCTTGTATCAGGGTACACTTGCACTGTGGTATTGTAGTACTGTGGTACCCTGGTATCATGCTACTGTGGTACCCTGGTATTGTAATACTGTGGTACCATGGTACTATTGTACCCTGGTACTTGGTACCCTGGTATYGTGGTACACTGGTAATGAGATATTGTGGTACTGTGGTACCCTGGTACTGTGAATGGACTGTAAATGGACTGTACTTATGTAGCACATTTCTATCCAACTAGTATACTCAAAGTGCTTTACATTATAGGGGCAGATATTATAAGTTTATACTTCTTTCTGCTTCTTTTCATTCATGACATTTTTCCTCTGTTTTTTTATTTTATTTTTGGCTTTTGTATGAATAGGTGTTTTTTATGCAGTGGTACCCTGGTACTGTGGTATCATTGTACTGTGGTACCCTGATGCTGTAGTATCTTAATATTGTGGTACTGTTGTACCCTGGTACCCTGGTACCATGGTATAGTGGTAATGTGCTACTCTGGTATCATTTTACTGTGGTACTGTGGTATTGTTGTACTGTGGTACCCTGGTATTGGGGTACTGTGGTAGCATGGAACTCTGGTGCTGTGGTACCCTTGTATTGGTACTGTAGTACTGTGGTACTCTGGTGCTGTGGTACCCTGGTACTGTGGTACTCTCGTTCTCTGGTGCTGTGGTACCCTGGTATTGTGGTACCCTGGTGCTGTGGTATTGTGGTATGGTGGTACTGTGGTAGCCTGGTATTGTGGTATGGTGGTACCGTGGTAGCCTGGTACTCTGGTACTCTGGTGCTGTGGTACATTGGTACTGTGGTACCTTGGTGCTCTTGTACCCTGCTATTGTTGTACCCTGGTATTGTGGTACTGTGGTACCCTGGTACTCTGGTGCTGTGGTATTGTGGTATGGTGGTACCATGGTAGCCTGGTACTCTGGTGCTGTGATACCTTGGTACTGTGATATTATTGTACTGTGGTACCTTGGTGCTCTGGTACCCTGCTATTGTGGTACCCTGGTACTGTGGTACCGTGGTATTGTGGTACTGTGGTACCCTGGTATCATGCTACTGTGGTACCTTGGTATTGTAATACTGTGGTATCATGGTACTGTAGTACCCTGGTACTGGGGTACCCTAGCACCATGGTACCATATCACCCTGCTACTGTGGTACCCTGGTTTTGTAATACTGTGGTACCATGGTACTGTTGTACCCTGGTACTCTGGTGCTGTGGTATTGTGATATGGTGGTACCGTGGTAGCCTGGTACTCTGGTGCTGTGGTACATTGGTACTGTGGTATTGTTGTACCCTGGTACTGTGGTATTGTGGTAAATGGTATCATGGTACTGTGATACCTTGGTAATTTGGTACTGTGGTACCGTGGCCACTCTTATACCTGTTGCACTGCTGGACAGTAAGACGTTCAAGGAGGGTTGAAGAAGACAACAATGTCTTAAAATGAAGACTATCATTGTAGAAGGCCAACATCCAAGAGTAAAAGAAACCCAGGAAACATCAGCTCCTCCTCTGTGCCCTGCCTACATCTGAAGTTGATAAGAAGAAGCAGGTTGTTGTCACATGGAGTAGAAGGTTTTGGACCCAGAATGCAGACACTAATGACATTCCACTAGTGCCACTTAGTGTAGTGTTGGTACGGTTCCAAACGGTTCCAAGCCATTTTCATTAGGCCAGATTCATGGAATCAGCCCCTTTTTTAGTACCTACTTCGTTGTGGTTCTAAGCGGTCCCAGTCGACACCAAAATGCGACGTCAGAACACTGTTCGTCACTGATTGGCTAGAGGGGTGGAGTCACTGGTTGGGTCTGAGCTGCCTTTACAAGAACAACTCAAGGAGCCATTTTTTCATTTGTAGTAGTGACATTAGTTGTGTTTCCATACAACTTTATTCAGAAATTTTAGCAATTTTTTTAAATTTCAGAACTTATTCGGCAAATGTGTTTCCATCTCTCATTTTGCGCATTAACTTTAAAAAAAAAACAAAACAAAAAAAAACATCTCCACCAACTGCCCAAAACACAGCCACTGTAGTCGGACTGGAACGTCAATGGAAAAGTACCCGAACTGACCGTACCGACACTGACCTTACTGACACTGACCGTACCGACACTGACCGTACTGACACTGACCGTACCGACACTGACCGTACCGACACTGAC